ACCTGTGTGTCTGCCGTATGTACAGCCGGTTAATGAAGCAAAAACAAGTACAATTACCTAATCCGTTATCGATAATTGATGTTCGGAGTCGGAGACTGAAGCATCGGATTAATGAATCAACAATTGATGTGTTTCTACAGTAAATAAGATTGGTTACAGCTTGAGTCAGTTCAGATAGCGAGGGAATCGGATTATTGGGGACCGGACTAAGGCGGCCTGACTGTATTATTATTCCGGCGTTTTTACTTCCAATCATAACTCAAGAACCAATTAGATGCGTTTCCAAAACATCATCAAGGTGCCCCTGCAGTCCCGTAGCACGTAAGAGTAAGGAGAGAAAAGGAAAACATGATTCCTTGAAGCCAAGGAGCCATATTGATTAAGTCGTATCACCAGCGGGCTGTGCAAACACCGTTCGGTTCAGCTAAGGCCACTAAAGAGAAAGTGCCCTTGACAGTTGGAACAACGGGTTCTTGTTCCTTAAGAATATTTTTCCCGTGGTATCAAATTATATTCTATGATCCATTATTATGAGCTGTGAAAGAAATTGAATCCAAATCAAATCACATAACTTCTATTTGTAAATCTCTACACTGGAATCATGTTCCATCTCACAATAACTTTCATATCATCCGAATTCTCAAAGGGTAACCTGGTACTAAAGGACCAATTCACATATAGAACACGGAGCCTACATCGCTGCTCTCAGCTATATTTTGACCTGAAATTGAATTATTAAAATCAATTTTGAATTATCTGCCCTTTGTCCTTGAACCTTGAACCTTGAACCTAGAGATGTTTGTGGTAAGCTTCAGGAACAGGTACACCTTGTTGTTTTTGTGATGAGATTCTGACCTCTGTTTTTTTAGTATGATTGGAACAAAAAACGGCGGAATAATGATACTAATAAATAATAAATCGAACGATTACAATAGGACTCCTGCCTTTCAGGCATGGAGCCCTAAAAAAATACAGAAAAGGACAAAAGACAACACATATGAAAACTATATTCCAACTATCTCTCCAACAAAGGTCGTATCTTCACAAAACAATATAGCGGTATCAGTAACAATTTCTGGTGTCTCCCGCCGTGATATTGCTGGAATATTGCTAAAAGCGGCGTAAAATCATACTCACTCACTCACTCACTCACAAAACAACATAGCGGTATCAGTAACGATGCACATGGTTATAATATCACATATGTAGATGAAAGTTTCTTCTACGTAAAAGAAGGGATCTTCTATGTAGATGAAAGTATCTTGTTTGTTTTAGTTCAACACCGCACTCAGCAATATTGTGCACAACCATGTGACTGCTGTCTCTAAATAATCGAGTATGGACCAGATATTGTGTGGACCAGAGACTCACTTCATGGGCATCGATCTACGCATCTGTAATACGATGTCATGCATCAACCAAGGCGGCGAGCCTGTGACCACCCAATCTCGTGGTCACAGCATGTGTTGATGAAGTCCAATTCAGACCCGGGAAAGAGAGTGAGTTTAGTTTAACGCTGCACCCAGCAATATTCCAGCTATCTGTAAATAATCGACTCTGGAATTCATACCTGGATCTTCACGGGTAATCACTTACGTAGATAAAAGTGTCTTCAACGTAGATGAAAGTATCATCTACTTAGACGAAAGTATCTTTAAAGAAGGTGACAAAAACAATGAAGACTATGACCTCAAAAACGGTTCCATAAAATAGTTTATGAAGCGGAGTAAAATGTCCGTCTTCGGTTCATTGAAATTAGCGAGGGGACAGAAAGTTGACTTCGACTGCCGCTGGTGTCGAGCCTGATAACAACGTGTCAACGGGGCCAAGTTCGAATCTAAGGCTTAAGGAACTGCCACTCCGAGAGAAAATTCTTGTACCAGGAGTGAATCCCACGAATAGGGTAGAGTCTAACATTGCCAGAAAACTACTCATCCGCTGGTGCCTCAGAAGCCCTGATCGAGATGCTCTATTACATACCGCCCTCTACTTCCTAAGACCCCCGTCACACAATTACGGCGGAATGAGCCGGAATGCTGTCGGAATGAAAATTTCTGGAGATTCATGGAAATTCGAACTGAATTCTAAAACTTCTTACTGCATTCCGAATGCATTCCAACTATTCGGGTCAATTCATGTAATATGCCCGAATGTTTTGAACATGTTCAAAACTTTCGAGGTACATTCGAAGTGGAAAAATATCGACCGGCTTTTGAGGTGCATTCGAACTGCATTCTAAGTATTCTTACTGCATTCTGACTGCATTCTAAGTAATCTGAACATATTCGAGGGAGAATAGAAAAGACAAGCCACTTCAAATCCTGTCAGAATGCCTCGAATGAGTCGGAATGTATCTTGATTGCTGCTGGAGTTCAAATATTCTTCAAATGTATCGGAACATTTCGATTGAAGTTGAAATACAGCTCCAATGTACCTCGAATACACCTGGAATGCATTCAGAATGTCCCGAATGCTCTTCAAATGAGCCCTGCCGTCATCAGAACACCGCCGAATCGCATAAAAACGTCACCATCTGTCACAGAAACGTCAGATAGCAAAGCTTGAAAAAATTGTCTCACGAATGCGGTTCGAATTTTTGGAACTATTTTTTTCTGGCCGATTCTCCTCGATTGCTGTAAATTCGAAATAAGTGTGAAGCAGCCTTAGTGACTGTTCATGTATACCAACACTCTTGTATGCCCTTAGGGTAGGTAATAACCCCAGGCAGAGCCTTATATATAACATTTGGGAAATAAAGCTATTGTAGTATTTTGTTTCAGTGTGGTGAGATTGTTAACATTCGGGGAGAATATTAGGGTATTGGGATTTCTGCAGTATAGTAAGCATGCAGTCATCGTGTGGACAGGCTGCAGTATTACACGTAGATGTTTGCATATTGACCCCTTGTAGCACAGTGATACTGCTGTAGTGTGGCGACGCTGTACTAGCGCGTTGCTTCAATTGTCCCGTATTTTGTAATTTCGTCTCAGGCAAATATGTCATAATGTCTGATTTTACATTGCTCCATTACATGTGTAATGGATACACAGCTCCCAAACTACTATCTAATATTTGCTTAATACTGGTTAAACGTTGGGTAACTGGAAGTTGTTTAAATGCAGTTAAACCATGCCGTAGAGAGAGGAGAAAGATAGGAAGAGACACCTTTCGCCCTATTATATACCGCCCTCTACTTCCTAAATGAATGTTCATGTATAAATGCGAGTAGTGACTATTGTTAGTGACAGTCCATTTTGGTAAAATAGATACCTGTACATGTATGTAACATACAGCCAGTATAGTCGTGGGATTGTTGACATTCAGGGTGAATATCATGCTGTTGGGATTTCTGCAGAGTAGTAAGCAGGCGGTCATCGTGTGGATTGACTGCAGCATCAAACGTAGTGATACTGCTAGAGAGAGAGAGAGAGACAGAGAGAGAAGGAGAGAGAGAGGGAGAGAGAGAAAGAGAGAGAGAGAATGAGAGAGTGAGTGATAGAGAGAGAGAGGAGCACTCTATTATATACCGCCCTCTACTCCCGAAATGAATGTTCATGTATACCAACACACATGTCCACCCTCAGGGTGATAACCTCAGGCAGACCCGTTGAGGCGAAAACAAATGATCAGCTTACATCATTAACGTTAAGGTGTGTTGCTTACCTGGAAGTGGCCAGCCCAAGGTAAATCAATCACATATAGTCCACCAGTTGTATATAAAGGAGAGGGAAAAGGTATTCTATCATCTCTTAATCACCTGCTGTTAAGACACAGATACGCGTTAACACCAAACTGTAAGTACCGTTTCAAGGTTTGCTGTGGTAAATATGTATACCTTGAAGTTGTCGTTCTTCTGCTGCACAACTCTCCTTTATCAACTTTACATTGGTCCAATTCATCAAAGTGCGAATAAGTAAGGCATCTGTACATTTGGAAGTATGTGGATGCACATGAAATAAAAAAATGATAACATTATTCATTAGGAGTGGCGTGAAGTCAATTCTCCAGACGAGTAATGATAACATGTTGTTTTCCTGTCTTGAAGATGATTTTTATGTTACTGAACAGATACTCAAAATGATGAAGATAGTCGCCGTCCTTGTTGCCTGCCTGGCTGTTACCGCCTTTGCTGAGCCAACCGGTCTGTATGGAGCATATGGAATGGCTGGGTTGTATGGAGGAATGGGCGGAATAGGCTACGGAATAGGTGGAATGCAGGGAGGTCTTTACGGAGGCTATGGCGGTCTGTACGGAGGAATGGGCGGTCTGTACGGAGGCAAATACGGATACGGCATGGGAGGTCTGTATGGAGGACTTGGAGGACTTGGAGGCCATGGTGGTCTCTACGGAATGGCAGGCTACGGAATCGGACTAGGAAAAGGTATTTCACAACACATGCTGTCATTCTTTCTTCTGTTATCCCATTTTAAACTTCACTTGTATAAAATGATATCATGTATTTATTAGTACTATTTTATGCAAATAAGCTGTTGTCAGTTGATAAACATCTGTAAAACTGTTGTCAGCTGTTTGAAATGCTTGGTATAGTTTATGGTGCAAGCAGTTTCAACATTTCCATGTTACTTTTCCATAAATCCCAATTTTATATGTAACTATTTTTTCTGTTTCAGGAATCGGCTACTACTGAGTTACTGTCACCTGCAGTGTGAAGAAGACTATTTATTTTGTATACTCATGACAATACAATTGGTTCAATAAAACTTGAAATACAAACGATTTGTGCTTTGTTTGGGAAATCTTAAAGCTGAACTGAAAATTCACAAAATGGCCAAGCCATCTAGGTTTCTTGATAGAGAAAGAGATTGGCAGTTGAGTGAATTAATTTCATTTCATCAATAAATGGACCCACACTCGGGAATACCCCACCGCCCCTCATCAATGGATGGACCCATACTCGTCAAATACGACTGACTGCTACATAAAACAACATTTACTCACAATTGTGTCATAATGACATTGAAAATGACAAAGCCATGATCGCAAATTGGAACAATTTATTTACTTTATAATATTTCAGAAAGACTGGACAAGTTCAACAGCAGTATTCTAAAGCATCGGAGATGGTTTATCATGATAACTAATGAAATGTTGTTTCTAAAATGTTTGACAAATGAGGAACCAACATGCAGTAGTGTGGAGGCTAATATACTGATTATATATTTATCAAACAATTGTTGAAAAGAATAGGCCTGAGCAAGGTAAACAGTATAGGAGTTCTCTCCCTTGATCCACAACAGCCTCAGTCCTGCAAAATGAAGTAAACAGGCCAAAAGCAACTAAAAGATTTCTAACACATGACAGGAACAAGCACTGAAATTGCATTGTGTAACACAATAATAATTAAAAGGCACTCCATGCACCATTTAAAAATGATATTAAATATTGATGTAAGATATGAAATAAATTAATACTTTTCGTCTACCTATTTCTTCAGGCAGCAACTGACATGTTTACTGACTTAAACACTCTATTATTATTGAATTTAGTAATATGGAACAAAACATAGAACAAAAAGCTATCAGTTAATTTGTTTAAATAACTGTTCAAATCCAAAGTAAACCTGTAGTTTCAGTTCCAACACAACACTACCACTTAAAGCCTTTCTCTGAGATAACGAATATTTCTTCATAACACCCCCAGATATATCCAATGTTTGTCTTGTTAACCTGATCAACAAATACAATGTATACACACAAACAAAATATGGCCTACCCACTCTAACCATCCAAGAAACATTTGGTAAGTCTAACATTTTTCGATATCGATTTCGATCTGCTGTTACCTTTTCTTAAAAACTTTGACTCTTCTTTAGCACTATAGTGTGTGCAAACCCTGAGACAACATCGACAACCCATCTGCAGACAACCCATCTGCAGACAACCCATCTACCCATCTACAGACAACCCATCTGCAGTCAACACATCTGCAGACAACCCATCTGCAGACAACCCATCTACAGACAACCCATCTGCAGTCAACACATCTACAGACCATCTGCAGACAACCCATCTACAGACAACCAACTGCAGATAACCCATCTGCAGTCAACGCATCTGCAGTCTACCCATCTGCAGTCAACGCATCTGCAGACAACCCATCTGCAGACAACCCATCTGCAGACAACCCATCTGCAGTCAACCCATCTGCAGACAACCCATCTGCAGACAACCCATCTGCAGTTAACCCATCTGCAGACAACCCATCAGCAGTCAACCCATCTGCAGACAACCATCTGCAGACAACCCATCTACAGAGAATTCACGAGTACAAGACACAACCAAGGCACTGGAAAGTCAGTCAGATGTTTCCCAGATTCAACAGCCAGACTGATTGGCATATCTTGTTATCACAATGTCTGGTCATGTTTCAAGATAATATCTGCTGGTGTTTGATAATGTCTATTGGCAACATCTGGTGTTTCTGTTTTGTGATAATGTCAGCAATTATTGCCGCCTGATCCTGCGTCTCTGTCCACCATTGTAAGGCTGGTACCGACAACGGTTGAAGTCCACATGCCGAGCCATCTGTTCAAAGTTGTTGTTGCTGTAGGGATGCCACTGGAAGTTGTCCCTGGATCCAAGGTCTGTCACAAAGCTGCTGTTATCCATGATTTGGCCATACCCACAATCATTTCTCAGCTTCCTGTTGGTGTCCATTGTCTGTCTGTTTAGAGTGCCACGGTTTATGTTCATGGGGTTGATGTCCTTCAACATTCGGTTCACATCAAGGTTTAGTGGGCGACGTTGGGGCCGAACAGGCTGTTCCTGTCTGTTCAAAACCTGAGGCAATGCTCGGGAAGGAATGGTGTTACATCCAAAACGAAATATCTCCGGGTTCTTTTCCTGGTTTTTCTGGACATTGCCAGGGAGATGGAAGCCCCAGGCATCCGAGATGTGAGTCAGCAGCAGGTTGGTAATGCGCCGATGAGCTGTCATGTCCCAGTGTATGCCGTCATCGGCACGGCGGTGAAGCTGATACCGCAGGAAGTAATGCAGGTCAAGAACATCAAAGTCATTTTCAACCACAACCTTGGCTGCATAATAGTTGGCTTCCAGGATGTCCAAACGCAGAGTGGAGTTCATGAATTCAATCTCAGGGATTATGAAACCACCCCGAGCATTCTTTGAAATGGGAAGTGTAGTGTTCCAGATGACCAGAGAGTCAGCAGGCAGCACCTCCTTGAACCGCCTGAACAATGTCTTCAGGTTCTCTTTGTACTCATCGATAGCTTTCACACCATACCTGCAACACAGAAACGTATGATCTAACCAAACACATACATTTGCACACAATCACTGAACAGGTCACTAAGTGTGGCAGCTCTTGGTCTGTACAGGTCCCAAGCAACCAAAGCTGGACAACGTAACAGATGAGGTAGTCGGGCAGGGTGACCTGGTTGCTTGCATGTCATCATACACCATTGGTAAAGATCTTTGCTCATGACATCAATAAATGGATTGTATGGTTTGGACTTAAAGGGACACAGACCTTTGTATTTCTCCAAGACTGGTTGTTGCCTTTGTTGTATTTTTAATGTTGACCAGCAAATCGACCAAGGGCAGCTAATGAGACCTCTCTGGCAGCTATAGACAGCCTGGGTAAAGCTTGGGATTAGTGCCCCTTTAATTATAATAATTACAGGCTTTATGATGTCACTGGAATACAGCCAAGTGTAGATGCTAACACTGTTATCAAGCAAGTGATAACGATGTTAGAATATACACTGAAACAGCACATCTATTGCAAAAAAGAAGTTGTCTATCCATGAAATTATACCAGCTTCTAAATGCCACTTAAAGAAGTTATACTGCAAAGTGTGGCATTAGATCACACACAAACCCACAAACGAACAGCTTATCATTATCTGTGAAGGATGAGGTGGTTGAACACTTAACAAGAATATTTTAAGATTGTAGTATTCATGTTAGGATAACAATCATTTCTGGATATGACCCGATGTATCAGTGAATTACTAGTATTTACTTGGTCAGACACTAAAAAGACCCTCACCAAATCACAGCCATTTAGTTCGGTGTGGGTGGTAAAAAACTATGCTAGTTAAAGATGAATTATACAAGTTTGTTGGTTAGTTAATGTCACACTCAGCCGCATTCCAGATATATGACAGCATTTTCTAAATAATCAGTGACAGACTTCATGAGCATCGATCTACACAGCTGACATAACAAATACATTTAATCAGCGAAGTCACCAAGTCCTGTTAACTGCCTCTTTGGACAAACAAGGGTTGATGAGAAATATTCTAACCAAGATTACCACTGACCGCCAAATTCAGTTGCCTCTTATGACCCTTTCAACCCAAGGCTCTTCAAGGCCTAGATTCATAAGCATTATCATTATCACACAATACTTTAAGATTGACAATCATCATCTAAGTTACACTTGGTTGAGGTGAGGTGAAATTGGGTTTAACGTCGTGCTTGAGAATATTTCGCTCATATGACGACGTGCATGCATGTGTATGTGTATGTGTATGTGCGGCTGCTTGTAATAGCCCAGACTTAAGCTGGTTTTATAGTGCTAGCCCACTGAGATACCATGCCGCAGTGAAGCATGAATACCCCACTCAGACACAGTATACTGACTCCGAGCCGACCAGTCCTTGCTGTACCAATTAATGCCGAACGCCAGGCAGGGACCAACAAGTACCATACTTTAACGTCTTGTGGTATGACGCGGTCGGGGATCGAACCCGCGACCTTCCGCTCTCTGGGCGGACGCTCTAACCACTACACCACGGAGGCGGTCTACACTTGGTTGAGACCGGTTACAAGAGTAGGCTACAGTGGTGACATAATTTAATCACTATGAAAGCACAATGCCATTTAACAAGAGTCATCAGAAGATGGCATATCCCCCCGGCCTCCACATCTTTGAAAGAACAAATCATCTGACAGTTACTTTAAGTCCAGCTTGATTTTAGACTAAGTGCAAATCGTTTCCATGGAAATCATGAAAAAAATAAATGACAAAAATCTGCGAATAGCAAAAGGCACCACTTTGGGATCTGCCTCACATATCTGCCAAGTTTTGCTGAAAGATATCGAGATGTTTTTGAGTTGTGCTCCGGAAACGAAGCCCACCCCTCACTTTTGGGACTAAGTCCGAATCGTTTCCATGGAAACCGAAAATAAAAATGCCAAAATCTGCAAATAGCAAAAGGCACAACTTTAGGATGTGTTTGATATATCTACCAAGTTTTGTTGAAATATATTATAACGGTTTTTGAGTTGTGCTCGAAACGAAAAGCAATCCTTACTTTTGAGACTAAGTCCAAAAATGTTTCCATGGAAACCAAGAAAAATAAAAATGCCAAAATCTGCAAATAGCAAAAGGCACAACTTTAGGATCTGTTTGATATATCTACCAAGTTTTGTTGAAATGTTTTGAATGGTTCTTGAGTTATGCTCCGGAAACAAAGCCCACCCCTCACTTTTGGGATAAAGTCCGAATCGTTTCCATGGAAACCGGGAAAAATAAAAATACCAAAAATCTGTGAAGAGCAAAAGGCACCACTTAAGGTTCTGTTTGATATATCTACCAAGTCTTGTTGAAAAATATTAAACGGTTCTTGAGTTATGCTCCGGAAACGAAACCCGGCCCTTCCTTTTGAGACTAAGTCTGAATCATTTCCATGGAAACCAAAAAAATAATAAATCACAAATATCTGCAAATAGCAAAAGGCACCACTTCAAGATCTGCCTCACATATCTGCCAAGTTTTGCTGAAAGATATTGAGAAGTTTTCGAGAAGTGCTCCGAAACGGCTTCCACCCTCACTTTTGGGACTAAGTCCGAATCGTTTCCATGGAAACCGGAAAAAATAAAATGCCAAAATCTGCAAATAGCAAAGGCACAACTTTAGGATGTGTTTGATATATCTACCAAGTTTTGTTGAAATATATTAAACGGTTCTTGAGTTATGCTCCGAAACAAAGCAATCCTTACTTTTGAGACTAAGTCCAAAATGTTTCCATGGAAACCGGAAAAATAAAATGCCAAAAAATCTGCAAATAGCAAAAGGCACCACTGTAAGGTTCTGTTTCATACATCTACCAAGTTTTGTTGAAAAAATATTAAACGGTTCTTGAGTTATGTCTCGAAACGAAGCCCCACCCTCACTTTTGGGACTAAGTCCGAATCGCATTCCATGGAAACCGGAAAAACATAAATGCCAAAAAATCTGTGAATAGCAAAAGGCACCACTTTAGGATCTGTTTGATATATCTACCAAGTTTTGTTGAAAAATACTGAACAGTTCTTGAGTTATGCTCCGGAAACGAAGCCCACCCTTCTTTAAGACTAAGTCCAAAACGTTTCCATGGAAACCGAGAAAAATAAAAATGACAATAATCTGTAAATAGCAAAAGGCACCACCTTAGGTTATGTTTGACATATCTACCAATTTGGGTTGAAAAATATCGAACGGTTTTTGAGTTATGCTCCGGAAACAAAATGATTACGGACGGACGGACAGACGGACGGACAGACGGACAGACGGACAGACGGACGGACAGACGGACGAGGCGACGACTATATCCCACCGCATTACATGCCGGTGGGATAAAAAGTGGTAAAATGTAACACATTATATTTTGGATTACACTTTCCCAGTAAAGTACATATTCTAGTGCTTTTGTTAGGTTGAGTCCCACCTAATCCCCAGCACACAAAGGCAGAGATCTATCAAACTCAACCACATGGAAGCCGGACAACTGGTAGTCTAGATCACATACTTTGTTTCCTCTCTGACTTGTGTAAAAACTATGAATACACAATGCTAGAGGCACTACTCCCAGTACTAAGCTGGTTCTCGGCTCCCTTTGCATGTGCCAACTTGCGATATGCGGGATGGGGACCAGCTTACTTCCTGTACAAGATTTCCAGTAACAAGCGTATATTCAAGAACCAGTTCTGGTTCCAAATTGCGAGACCGCCAAATACGACTTTACCAGACCGGACCAAGTGTACGTTGTTTGTCCCCAGGAGTACTAACGCTCGCAAAGTGCTATGACCTACTTACGGGCCCTATCTAGAAAGTGGTCAAATGTAACATAAGTAATATATATGGGATAGCTTTCAGACATGGGATCTGTGCCTATTTACACTAGTCAGAAGGATACAAAGTAAAAATACAGTATATTTCTAAAACAGCATACTTATGGACAGACAACTTCTTTACTGCAATGGATGCAATAATCAAGACCAATCAAGATTAAGAGGCCCCAACTCTTTGTCCATCTCACTTCATACCATTATCTATTAGTAGCTATTAGTAATGTAATCACACTGTACATCAACCTTGTACCCATGTGGGGAATCAAACCCAGGTCTTTGGTGTGATGAGCAATCGTTTTAACCACTAGGCTACCCCCACAGGTTGTCAAAAGCATACCTGCTGATATCCCACAGACAGGAGTTGAGGATCACAATATCAGGCCTTGGTTCATCACTCAGGTCAGCCAGAATGCTCTCCATGTAAGCGTTGTAGCAGCGGCATACAAAGTAGAATCGGACGAGGTGGTAGTCCGACAGGTACTGTCGCACCTCACGGTAGTTGATGCCATTACTCATCTTGCCCTTCTTCCCTTCCTCGATCAGCTCATCCCTCTCAAAGGTCATCTCACCCTGCATACAGGTGAAAGTTCACAGGTAGAGAATACAAGAATTGTAAAGGAGTGAGTGAGTGAGTGAGTTTAGTTTTACACCGCATTCAGCAATATTCCAGCTATATGGTGGCAGTCTGTAAATAATCGAGTCTGGAATGGACAATCCAGTGATCAACAGCATGAGCATCGATTTGCGCAATTGGGAACCGATGACATGTGTTACCCGATCCTGTTAGTCACCTCTTACAACAAGCATGGGTTACTGAAGATCAATATTCTAACCCAAACCTTCACCGGTCAGAACTGTAAAGGAAGAAGCAGATAATGGAGCATACAACATTATGGATGACAAACTACGGTTTGGTGTAGATTTTTACACCATTATCAAGCTAAAAGCTACACCAAAACGTCACACTATGCAATAAACAAGAAGTTGTCATCTATAAAGTTTCTGACAGATATCAATGTCTTAAAGTCAGCTGATATTTCAAGTCATATTTTCAAGTTGTTGTTGATGAGTTGGTTCAATATTGATGTTTTTGCTTGTCTTATTGTTGTCTGAAATTATCAGTTCTATCAACAACAAAAAAAAACGGTTCTCTATGCTAAACAGTTCAAATGACAAACATTGACATGCTAGTCCAATTCATTTAGTTGCCTATTAAATCCAAAACATATGGGAAAGATTGTATCTCATTATCATCAAAGTGTCAATTACATCCAAAATCCATTTGACCATAACTTGGTCTGCAAAGAAAATCACCTGTTAGAACACAACACAAACTACCCAGACATTGTATTGCCCTTCATGTCTAAGTCATCTCAAGTTTCTTCAATGCTACACTCTCCATTATCCCAGTCCTATCACAACAGCTTTTAAATATATGAGTCTGGACCAGACAATCCAGTGATCCAATATTGTGAGGAATGATCCACACAATCGGGTTACAATGGCTTTCAACAATGTCAAGGAAGCTTACATATCTTACAAGCCTAGACCAGTAGTGAGTGAGTGAGTGAGTTTAGTTTTACGCTGTGCTCAGCAATATTCCAGCTATATAGCAGTGGTCTGTAAATAATAGAATCTGGACCAGACAATCCAGTGATCAACAGCATGAGCATCGATCTGCGCAATTGGTAACCGATGACATGTGTCAACCAAGTCAGCAAGCCTGACCACCCGATCCCGTTAGTCGCCTCTTACGACAAGCATGGGTTACTGAAGATCAATTCTAACCTGGATCTTCACGGGTTCCTCAACCAGTAAAGGTGCAAGGTAGAATTGCTCTCAGGAATCTATGCTTGTCACAAGAGGTGACTAACTGCATCTGGTGGTCAAGCCCTCTAACCTGATTTAAGCATGCCATCGTATGCCACCTGCGGACATCAATGCTCACTCTACTAATCACTTGATTGTGCGGTCAAGACTATATTATTTACAGACTGCTTTATTACATCCTGGAATACAGACAGTGATCAACAAACTACCAGCAACAGTTGCTAGGCAGCTATTCAAAGCCAGCATCTTCTGTGGGCATGTCAGGTATGGTCAGGTATGGTCAGGCAATGGTTACCTTGTTGCGGAGGTTGCTATCAGACAGGTATCGGTTCTTCTGGAGCAGCAGCACCATATCCTTGTACACAGCTCGCTGTACTGCAGGAAACAATAACATGGGTATTTGTATCATTTAAGCTACCACTTACAACCCTTGAGCAGCCTAGTCAACTTCTCACTTTATGTTCAAAGCACTACATTCTTCTACCACATACAGTTATAGATAAGGGGTGGCCTTCAGCCTCTCACCTGATGACTGTGGACGACTCTAAGGTCCAAATCAGGAGTGGAGTGAGTGAGTGAGTTTAGTTTTACGCCGCACTCAGCAATATTCCAGCTATATGGCGGTCTGTAAATATATCGAGTCTGGACCAGACAATCCAGTGATCAACAGCATGAGCATCGATCTGCGCAAGGCGGGGGAACCGATGACAGCGGAGTGTCAACCAAGTCATTTGTTCTTTAAACTGACCTATAGCAGGGTTTCGATCCCGTTAACTCTATAGCCTCTTACGACAAGATAGTCACCTTTATTTATGGCAAGTCACTCTATTATGGGTTGCTGAAGACCTATTTGTCTCCAATTCTTTCAGGATAGCATTATAAAATCAATGACTTTCTTTTGGGAATAATAAATTCCTTCTGTATAGGAGTTTCTGATTATAGCTAACAGTATTTTGCTTTGGTCCTCACCATCTAAAGCAGGGTCTCAATGACTTTCTTTACAGTGAGTCACTCATTAGGGTTTCAGATTTGTTCTATTACAGTGAGTCACTCTAACAGGTTTCAGATTTGTTGAAATTACAGTGAGTGACATAGCAGGGTTTCTGATTTGTAGCAATACAGTAGTCTTTGTCAGACAGAGTTTGTCTACAAACTCTATGACAGTTTCAGATTTGTTCTTTTACAGTGAGTCACTCTATAGCAGGGTTTCAGATTTGTTCTTTTACAGAGAGTCACTCTATAGCAGGGTTTCAGATTTGTTCTTTTACAGAGAGTCACTCAACTTCAGTATTTCAGATTTGTTCTACTACAGAGAGTCACTCTATTGCAGGGTTTCAGATTTGTTCTTTTACAGAGAGTCACTCAACTTCAGTATTTCAGATTTGTTCTACTACAGAGAGCCACTCTATAGCAGGGTTTCAGATTTGTTCTTTTACAGTGAGTCACTCTATAGCAGGGTTTCAGATTTGTTCTTTTACAGAGAGTCACTCTATAGCAGGGTTTCAGATTTGTTCTTTTACAGTGAGTCACTCTATAGCAGGGTTTCAGATTTGTTCTTTTACAGAGAGTCACTCTATAGCAGGGTTTCAGATTTGTTCTTTTACAGTGAGTCACTCTATAGCAGGGTTTCAGATTTGTTCTTTTACAGAGTCACTCACTCTACTTCAGTATTTCAGATTTGTTCTATTACAGAGAGTCACTCTATTGCAGTATTTCAGATTTGTTCTACTACAGAGAGTCACTCTATTGCAGTATTTCAGATTTGTTCTTCAACAGTGTCCCTATCTCTATAGAAGAGTTTCAGATTTGTTCTTTTTCTGTGAGTCACTCTTCAGCAGGGTTTCACTAACATATACAGAGACACTAACCAGAATTGCGTCCTACAACTGTCTTAGGTCTATGTTTAGGTATGGGAGTTACAATCACCTTGGTGCTGAGATCTCTTCGTAACAACAGCACTCTGTGCTGCTCTTCAGTTCAAGAAGGCCAAAAATGTTTTGAACTGTTTCTGTAAGCGTCATGTCAAGGACCCCCTGGCTTTCATGGTTTAGTTTGGACATTGATTGCAGTATATATGGTGGGAACACTTACTTGAGTCCCCAATAATGACCACAAACTTGTTGTAAAAGAGTTTCTCTGCATCCTGGCGAAAGAATATGTCCCCCATGGCTACCTGAAACAAATATTACAAAGTATCTGATTCTGAAGTTGCAGGTTTCACTTTAATTAAAACACCTAAGGATTGTGTAGTTTCATACGTCCTTACAATGAGATCAACGTAATGAACCACAGGAAAATACATAATTCCGGAAATATTAGGATTCGTAATTTAAATAAATAAACACCATTTATGATTCTCCTAATTTTGATACAAAATCATAAAAAGACAAGGAATAACTATCTACCTTGCCCAATATAAAACCAAAAATAAGTGTTTCCTTTGCAGAAAGTAGTTATCTGTACATGCCCTAAAGTATACACCAATGTGAAACTGCTACTGTCGCCTGTTCATATTCAACTAAAACTAACCCGACAGATCAAATCGGTCAAGTATTCAGGCGGTTCCCGGTCAACTGATCGCCTGTCGCCTATGTGAAACAGTAGGATTTAAAATCACTCGATTTTGAGAGAAAACATTACTAACATTTTGTTGTAAGTCAGTGACTGTGTAATCATGACAATTCCCAGTAATTCAAGGGAAAATGTAGGCTCCAAATTGTCAGCCATAAAGACGACGAGTGGCAGCATGCCAAGTGGTCGACAGTCTTTCTGATGACAGACGACTGGCTGGAAAACTAACTATCAAAAGCAACTTCTAAAACTATCGCGTAAGCTAAAAAACGTTCACAAGTCCTCTTCTCTTACCTGCAAAGTGGATTAACGTAAGAGACAATCGCAACCGACATTTGAATATGTTCAAAAACACAAATTGTGTACTGTCAGTATGACACTGACAGGCCTTGGGTAGCCCATGGACGCACTTTGGCAACAAGGCTTCATTGGTGTTTAGCATTGTATACTTTGATCTCATTAAACTGGCGCTGGTAGCGCTGACAACAATTAGAACAGCATGCATATTTCAACAAGTGGAACAGCACACATACACGGATTTACTTACCTATTGTATGTGATGTCACTCGTTTCTTTGGGATTTACGAACATCGAAAGAAGTTCGGATGATATAACCTTGGAAGAGTCCATTTTGACAGCAGGGAGCGAGGGATAGTGAGTGTCACCTGTCATTCATCTTGGACCGCTGTTCCATTACAAACATTGACATACGAACTTTACGTTACAAATTACTCAGGAATATATTCAAGTTTTGTTTTACCAAACTTAGGTGACCTGTCTTGTCTTTTTTAGAAAAAGCAGAATATGGGAGATTTCAGTTTTGAATAGGAATAGCACAGTGGACACAAGGTTCGGAACGGAGACTGTGCGTCAATCTTCAACGTAATGCATCTCAGTGAAGAACAATAACTCTCACAAATAAATTAATACATAATGGTCTTACATGCTGAAAATTGAAACAAACTAAATACTAGGATGTATTTAACGATGTTACCCAATTTCCGGGAAGTGTGTCAGAATACTTTAAAATCATCTCTTTTCTATCGGTGTAGAACTTAAAAACTCGATCTTTTATGTTTTTTTCATGTGACTGATATGAGATATATGAGATATTGGCTCAGCACCAACTAACATATAAAATATCCAAATCGGTTAGAAAGAAGACCGGTTCTCTGTGTGCCAACTGTGGGACCGAAATTTGAAAAGCAATAACTATAATTGCTGTTGATTGTTGAAAGAAAACTATGCATACACTTGACCTTTCGCTTCAATTTCAAAGTTTTACAACTTTCACTGTTACAGTGCAATATCTGTAAATATACTCATAGAAATGAATGAGGGAACACATGAAAGTACAAGTGTTCCTTTATTTAATTCCACTCACAGTGCAATACATACCTTGTGAGGAAAACTTGGAAAAGAATAAAGGAACACTTGTACTTTCATGTGTTCCCTTATTCGTGTCCATGAGTTTATCAATGTAGACTCGTTAAGTGCCTGAATATTTATAGTTTTGCAAGTAACAATTAATCCCATTTGAATTAGGCACAAGTGAGATGTGTAATCTAGGTTTGCTTCATTAAATTATATATTTAAGTTTATGTTATTGTCTGATACTTTCTTATCAAAGTTAGGTTTAATGTGTTTTAAGATGTTTTATCGTCGCAAATGTTTAAAGCATATTTCAACTCGTTCAAACTAGTCATTATATATCATATTTAATTATTTTATGTGTCTATATTAATGTACTGTTATCTTACCTTTCTGAAAATATGTATATTTTACAGTTTGACAACGTGTCTCCTCGGCCTATTGAGGCCCTGCATAATCAATGTTTATCTTTGTATATTTGCTATGTGTGTTAACCTTGTAATTTTATGCTGACACGTAAATAAACAATTCATTCATTCATTCATATCACCGCAGCTAGGGTTCAACAGATAAGCAATTGTTACATATTAGAACCCCACATCAACATCCCTCAAACTAGTCTAGAAAATCATGTTCTATCTGTAGTCACTAGCATAGACTGTTACTGTGTATACAGTGGAGCAAAAACAAATATATACCTTCGTGTGAGATGTTTAATCGGCGGTGATGAAAATTTGGAGATTGTACGTGCGCATTCTACCACGGTGCTTATTTCACGCACAGGTACGCCAGGCTTAGTCTGTCTCAGTCCCTGAACCATATTATTTTCCCTACAGCCTAGCCCTTAGTCTGTCTCACAGTACCTGAACCATATTATTTTCCCCAATGCTTAGCACTCCCTGCAATGCTAAAGCCCTAAATAAAGCAAGTCTAGATTTCCTCAGGTTCAGGCTGAATCTCTGGTCTTCCTGGGGCTCCTTTTAATTTAAATGGGTTTGTTTGTTACTGATCAAAATGAAACATACAATTTATGGATGACAACCTAGTTATCGCTAGACGTCTCGATTTAGATTCTTACAGCGTTATCAAGCTAAATTAACGACTTAATATCGGTGTATGAATTCAACATTGAAACGTCGCTCTAGATTTCCGATATCTGATCTGCCCCTTTATATAACAACTGCTGCCTTTCAATTTAAATTTGTTTACACACTCTCACACACACACACACACACACACACACACACACACACACACACACACACAAAAATCCAGCATGAACAGTTGAATTACTACTGCGTCTACATCGAGGACACTTGTTCTTTTCTCAAACCCCAATCCCGACCCCGCACTGACATCACCCTTTACCCAATCCCGGCCACGTCAAACGCCCCCCACCCCAACCTTCCACGCACCCCCTCCTCCCCCGACTGTTTTGTAACGCAAGGTGTGACGTTTTGATGACAACGTTGACCACAGCCAAGATTCCTGCTGTCCCGCACCCCGCTGCTTCTCACAACCGAGGGGAGATGGGAACAGATATGTGGTAACTAAACCCCATAAATTACAAGATTGGACACAAACTGGACACATTGGAACAACTGTCGTAAACAGGCAGTCACGGGCAATTTGGCTGTATAAACATATTGTAGGTGTCATTCAAATTGGATTATCAGGAGTTGGGATGAAGGATCTCCCGTTGTCAGTCTCTTACAGTTATACAAGCAAGACTTTAAACAAGCACATCCCATCTTTCAACATACTCTCACAAGGGAAGTCTCTGGTGTCAGATGTGTCATAAAACCGACCTACATTTTTTCCCCATGCACTATCTATCTATCTAATCTAGCTATCTAGCTAGCTATGCCGGTATATAATACACGTATTGATACAACTTCGAACAGGAAGTATATGAACGTATCGCTGCATTTGTATAGCTATTCCATTTTGCATGGCAAGTTTTCCATACGGCCGATAATGTGATAATGCTAAAACGAGCCACCATGGTCTCCAGATTGACATCTGAAGATACACGTATATACACTGCATAAGAAACACAAGAAACTATTCCTTTCAGTTGATTTCATAATAGGGATCGTGTGGTTGCAAATACACTATAGCCCAGAGAGAGAGAGATTTGTGTGTGTATGTGTGTGTGTGTATTGGGGAGAGGAGATACGCTAGATGTATATTTGGGGTAGCGTGCCGTGGGGCAGGTGTAGGGATGGGACGCAAGGGAGGGAGGTTTATTGCGTTAGAGGGGACAATTTGAGAGAATGCAAGATTAATTTGTATTAAGGCTGACATCATCAGCTCCCACGGGGCACGTCCTCTACCTCGCGTGTGTCACCTCAGTGACGACACCCAGATAGCATTCGGACGTTGTCCCAACGTTGGCAATGTTGGCACAGTCGTTAAACGTAATATTCTTATTGACCCAAAATATTATACAGCGATCTTAAAGTTCAAAGTATGTATAAATAATTCACTTGTTAAAACCGGCCATAGGAATATTGTAGCGAAACAACTTGATCGTCTATGGGAACATTACTACTCTTATTCAGTTGCACTTGAATATTCTTTTTATTTCCATCTTTGACAGAAAATCTTCATATTTACCAAATAATCTACCAAAATATACACTGAAAAGTAATTAGGCCGTCACACATTCGGAGCAGTGCTGAATGCGGTGTTAAATAACAAGCATTTGAGCGGTTAGAGAGATCTTACAAAAACATATCGAGATGTATTACTGAAATATCCAGTGATGAAGGATCAGATAATGATACAGACATAGTTACTATAATACATCCCTCATGACATGCTGTCATCGTATCACCCGTGAAGGTCCGGGTTAGAATATTGGCCTTCAGTAACCCATGCTTGTCGTAAGAGGCGACTAACGGGATCGGGTGGTCAGCCTCGCTGACTTGGTTGACACATGTCATCGGTTCCCAATTGCGCAGATCGATGCTCATGCTGTTGATCACTGGATTGTCTGGTCCAGACTCAATTATTTACAGTCCGCCGCCATATAGCTGGAATATTGCTGACTGCGGCGTAAAACCAAACTCACTCACTGTCATCGTATCACATAATTAATGTAAATGTGTTACAACAAAGTTAATAAAATAATGAAAACTTTTGAAATAGTGAACACGACTAAATGTAATTTATCTACCATGAATAAACTCCAGTCAAAATGTGAAGACATGTTCAAGCATTCATTAAGTGATTCTCCTACATCAAATAACAAATTAAGAACATACAGATTGGTGAAGTCATCTATAAAACTCGAGAATTAAAGATTGCATTGTTAAAACAAAGCTCAAAAATAACATTTCTCAAAACTACGGTTGAGTAATCATAAACTCAAAACTGAAACTGGAAAATATGCAAAACCTGCAACCCTGTTAGAACAACGTATCCGTGAAATGTGTAATGTCTTAGAAGATGAGCTACACCATGTAATATCAAAGAAGGAGAATCACTACTACAAACAATGCTTAATCATGATCAAGAATTTGCTACACTCTCTAAAAAAAGAACAATTCTTGACAATTTTCACAAATAGAAGTCCTGAAACAATTTCCAAAATATGTCATCATATTTACAGTTTAAATGAATTCTGTGTATTACCATAGTATTACCATTCTGTGCATTACCATAGCACCCATATTGTTTCCATATCATTATACTACATATGATTTGTGAAATTGTTCTAATGAACATCATTTACATGTGAAATATATCTGTATTTCAATATCTTTGTTCCCTTCCGTGTTTATATTTATAGTTTATAGAATATTGCCACTGTTCCTTCGTGGAGTGCTATGCAATAAATATCTCAACTGTTTAGAGACTTGTGTAAGTCTACGTTTTCCCTTCCACGCAGCCCTTTCTGCAATGATAAAACCCTAAATGGAGTCTAGATCTCCCCAGGTTCTGAATCTCTCATCTCACTGAAGCTCCGTTTTAATCTAGAAGGTATTATTTGTTTCTATCAAAATTATGTATATTCATTTACGG